GGTGTCAGCCTGTCCATGCTGATCAGCCCGAGACCCTAGAAACTATCCCTAATACATGAGCACACCCCAAAGTAATGGGCAAATTTGGTAACACTGTTCACCAAGGCACCCCGGGGAAGACAAGAAACAGTGAGCACAAAATGATTAAAGATTGTTTCAGATTGGACATAAGGAAAAACATCTTTACAATTTGAGTGCCAAGGGTCTAGAACAGACTCCCTGCCAGGGGTGGTACAGTCACCCACCCTAGCAATCTTCAAAAAGCATCTTGATGCTCACCTTGCTAGGGTCATCTGACCCCAGCAGTCTTTCCTGCCCAAGTTTAGGGGGGCTGGACCTGATGATCTTGTAAGGTCCCTTCCAGCCCCTAATATCTATGACTCTATTAAATATAATAATACTGTACAGTGTAATAACGACGCTGTAACATCGATAATGATAAACATACATTTCATTATTAAAACTGAAATTATTTAGTCTGAATAGTAAGGAAAGTACATGAACTAAACTTGAAAAAAACCGAGAATAGCTCATAAATTGTAGAGCTTTTCTGTTTAAAAAAAACAGGGTGCTGTTGGGCAGAAGATACACTTAGAGGCAACATAGCATCAGAATGCTGATACGTTGCTACTAACAAACATTTGTGTTGTGCTACATTATTAGGGTGCATTATATTATGCTTGGAATATGTGGGCACATCTATATGTGCTATTAATTCAAAGTAGGCTTACTGCGCAGTTCCCAGCCATCTCCAGGCTGCACAGGGAAGCAGGGAGCTCCCAAATCCCAGTGATGCTTGGCTGGGATCAGTGCTGGGACCGGGTGAGAGGGAGGCAGAAAGTTGCCCTGTCCTGGTACTGCTCAGCTCCCTGCTCCTGGAGGGAGCTGGAAGCCAAACACTGCCAGGATTAGGGGAGTTCCCTGTCGCCTGTGGCCCTTTAGTGTAGAGACTGACCAGGTACAAATTTGTTCCCAGCCGGCATCTACACATGTGCTACTGCACAGTATCTACTACACAGTTACTTTACTACTTGTATTTACGGGTAGTAACTAACTGGCCAGTAGACTAATTTACTGTGCAGTAAATGTGCACATGTGTAGGTGGTGACGCTTTACTGCACATAGACTAGTGTGCTGCACAGTAACACGTCTCATATACACATATATTTTCAATACATACTTTAACTAGGATTAAATAGAGAGGGAATAATATAAAAACTAGCTGCAGAAGCTGCTGGTTTTAAAGTGTGAAGATAAAAATAAAATGTTTTACTAGATTTTTGCAGATTTGTACAATGCTAAGAATTGGCTAGACAATATACAATAGAACTTCATTAATTGTTTTAATTAGTTCTTGGTGCTTTCCAAAAATTGAGATGGCATAGTCTCTGCTCCCAAGAGTTTATAAAATAAAAAATAGAAGCAACAAGACAATGAGTAGGGAAGGTGACCTGGGTCAAAATCCCAATAATCTAAATTTAGGCTTTTAAATCCAGATTATGGTACCTATATAGAGTGATCTGATTTTCAGAAGTGTGAAGTACATGTTATTTTCATAAATTCAAACAAAATTTGTGGGTGCTTGCATCTTCAGAAAATCTGGCCACTTTTGTTTAAGAAAATAAGTCAAGATTTAGGTGCCTAAATTTAGGCAACCATATCTGAAGATTTTGGCCACAAAACAGAACTGAAGTGGTTGATAATTTAAGTGTCCATGTTAGGCAATAACAAATATGTTAAAGCACAATGATTTTGTCCAGATTTTGTTAAGATACAGAAAACAGCTAAGAAAACCAGCTTGTAAGCTTCATAATAAAAGTGGGTCTTTAGAAAGATCTGATTGAGAAGCGGTTAGTCATCTTTTCAGTTTGCTAGTCTGCAGCACAAAAACCATACTATAGCAGAAAAATAAACACACAGAAATAGTGCATTCCTCTTCTCAACCAAGCTGTAAATTACTCATCTGTACATTATTTAAAACTAGCTAGCTGCAAGTCCACAACAACTAGGGGTAGTTTGGGTTTAATTTCTCCCTTAGTGGGTGTGTCCCGATGAGTGCACACATGTGGTTTGTGGTGCCATGAACCCATCTGTGCTGGTAATTAGCAGCATGCACCACCCAAAACCAGAGTCTGGATGGCCAGTGCCATACTCCAGCTGCTAGTAAAGCTCTGTGCACTGGATCACTGCTGCTGCAGTCCTGGGAAGTCCCCAGTACCCCAGGTAAGGCTGCAGGGGCCAGTCCAGGTGCTGGCCTCAGTCTCCCCTTCCCCACCTGGGGCAATATGCCACACACCACAGCATGTGTGCACAGGCATTCCCAATGGGTGCATCCAGACAAGCACACATGCTCTTTGTGGTCACTCAAAGGCTTTTGAGGCACTGCAAAATACATGCAGTGCATGTGAATAGATTCTCTACACTGCATATTTGCAGCACAGAGAAAAAATTAGATACTGGGAACTTCTGGTATCAAAAAAAGCAGGGGGGGGGGGCAAAAAAGTGGGGTGGCACATGTGGCTGCAGCATACGCACCCTGAAACTGGAGCCTGGCCAGCTGGAGCCACACTCTAGCTATGTTGTCTCTGGCAGCCAGCCAGCCTCTGTGTGCCCAGATCATCCCTGCTGGAGCCCAAGGAAGTACCCAGGACCTCAGGTAAGGTTTCCCAGGCCAGCCCAGGTGCAGGCCCCTGTCTCCCCTACCCCACCCAGGGCAATTTGCCACACATCAGAGCATGCATGCAGGGGCATTTCCCATGGACAAGTAGCAATGGCATAACGACGTACTGCTGCTATTTGTCCCCAGGGCAATGCATGTGCGTGCTTCTCTGGACATGCTCAGTCTGTCTTTCATATGGGGTTTCAGCACACTTATAGCTCTGCTGAGGGCCCAGATGTAATGGGATCTGGTTTTGGTCTCTCTCATATAGAATCCTCTACTTCTGTTACCCCAGGGCTACAGAAGTTCTCGCAGCTGGATTTGGGTACTGTTTTTGGTTTTTGCTCTGGTCATGATTATACAACTTTTAGGAAGTAGAGTGTCCTGACTGTTGTGGATGTATGATTTATACATGGGAGAGCAACTAGATCCTTTCCAACTAAAATGTCCTACACCTGGGTTCTGACCAGAATACTACCATGGGTGAGGTCCTTTACACAACTGGAGCCTAACACTGTCAGTTATGACTAGGGATCTGGGTTTTCCATTTCCCACAGAAAAGCAGAGTAAAACACGGATTTCCCATTTTAACAGTGAAACCCATGGATTTTGCAGTTTTGTAATGAGCCCTTTGCAGGCTGGCAGAGTTCCAGCCTGCAAGGAGCTGGGAGGGAGCAGGAGGAGGGTGGTCAGACATGGGGCACCATGTACATGTGCATGTACATGTACTTGGCTGCCAGGCGGCCTGGAGAGCAGCTCCTACAGGTAAGTGGTGGAGGAGTTGAGGCCCCCATAGGAAGGGAGGGAGGTAGTTGGGCAGGGCTGGGGCTGGGGCTGCTGCCCAGTAGGGCGGAGCATGGGGCTTGGGGCTGCATTACACAGTTGCAGGGCCCCAGTGGGGAGTGAGATGGGGCTTGTTCAGGAGGAAGGGGGTGGGGCCAGCTCCCCACAACTGTGTGCACTCCTGGGAGGGCAGGGGGACCCGCGCCCCCCAGATATGTGCACGGGGTGGGGGCGAGAATGGGTCGCCCACTGTGGACTCAGTTCCTGGCCTGCTGTCCTCCCCCAGGGCCTCCGTAGCCTAGCAGGTGTGACCCAGCACTGCAGAGAACAGTGGAGCCATGCAGGAAAGCTGCTTGCCTCTGCAAGTTCTGCAGTACCCTGGCAAGGTGTCTCCTGCATGTGGGACTGCAGAAAAGGGCTAAACCCCCTGCCGCTGCCCTCACTGCTCCTGCATGCACAGAGGACACCTCACCAGGGCAGTGCGGAGCTCACAGTAGCAACGACTTGTCCAGCGTGCTGTTCCCTGCAGCACCAGGTCCCCCCTGCCTTCCCCCACCCCCTGAGCGTGCACAGGGAGGGGGAGCCAGTCCCACCCTGGCTTGAGCCTGCAGCAGGCAACATGGTGGGGAGCCAGGCTGGGGGCAGGGGCTACAGACCTGGCTCCCTGGCCCCATAGCCCTGGCATCTGGAGGCCCCCTCTGGCAGGGCTGGGGAAGCAGAGGCTGTGGGTAGGGGGCAAGGAACACCAGCAAGGCTGTTTGGGGGTTTTATCAGATAATTTGCAATTTTTTATCAGGGAAAACCAGTATCCCTGGTTATGACCGTGCCCTTAGGATTTATCCAAAAACTATCAAATGCAGCACACCAGAATCCCAGATCTGCAGGACATCACTTTTCTCTTTCCATAAGGCAGCCTCCTACTGCTCCCTTCAGATATTCACCCCCCACTATCACTTAGACCTAACATCTATACCAGATTCTGATTTCAAGAAAAAAAGTCTACCAGTCTCCACTGCCAATAAACTCTCTCCTTGCATTTCTAAAGATCGATATATCCACTGTTAGCCATGGTTGTTGCAGGATAAAGTAGGAGGAGTGCATTATATGACAGGTAAAATAACAACTGGTAATCTTATTGATTGTAATCTTTTTCTAACATGCATGCTTTCTGCTTCCACTCAAAAAACACTTCTTGGATTACATTGCCTATACTTTTATGCTCCAAAAGACACTTTAAATAAGGAAAACAGTCTGAATTGAGGATTAAGTACTGCAGAGAACTGCAAGAGATTGCCACCTCCTTCCCCAGTACTGGAGACATAATGATAATAGCCAAGGCCGAATGGAATGGGAGAGGAGGACTATGAGAAACTGGTTTTCAGATAAGAAATCTTCCCTTAAAGTATTATGTGGTGCGGGACTGTGAATGCTATTTTCATGTGCATTTTAAATGTTTTTTCAGCTACAAAAATGTTGTGGCCCTACAATGTTTTTCCCAGCCATTAGTATACATTAACAAGGTCTACTATAAAATGCAGCTATTCAGATAATTACATACTCCTGGGAACCAGCAAGACCAGTGTCCTTCCACTTCAGAGATGGTTCTAATTTCTTGTCGATGGGCTTGCCTTTTACAGGAGGACTCTTCATTTTCTCAAACACATTCTTTTCTGAACAATCATAAAACTTCTGGGATTGGCCAGAGTCCTCAGTATCAACTATTTCCAGATGCTGCTGTTTTTCATGCACTGGTTCTTCAAAAAAAGTATATTCCTAGTAAAAGATCAGGAAAAGGTTTGTCAATCAAATTGCCACATGAATACATTTTAAAAATAATAAGTTATAAGAAGTCAACAGTATAGTGCACTAAAATGACACACAGCATCATATACAAAACTTTCCATTCATTCTATTGTGTAAAATTAAATTGTATTAAAAGAATGCAACATCCATATCAATGTGAAATTTCTGATGGTGAAAAGCAAATGTCCCCAGATAAAAAATTAAAAAACATTTAAAACAAAGCAGTTATTAACAAAATTTGGAAATTCTTGAACCTACTATAATACTAGATGTTGTCCTGTACCTAAGAAGTGACACAATTTCTGACAAGCAGCATTACAGAGTATAACTTCAGATCAGATATAAAGCCCAATTTTGCAAACTCTTTCAGTGAACTAACTGAACAAAAATTGTTTCCATGAATGAAAGTTTGCAAGATCAGGCCTTATTTTTTGTATTTAGAAATAAAATAATCAATACGATGTACTATATTGATTAACATATTCCCTACTTGAATACTGACAGATGACTCTGTAGCTCAAACTTCCAGCAAAGTTAAAAGATACGTAGTCACATTTATAATGGAATCCTGAATGCCTGTTACAAGTATAACATATAGCGCCACTCCAAAACTTTAAAAAATATTCCAAATAATTCTTAATAAATGTACTGACCAGTTTCAAGTTCATAGATTCATAGATTCATAGATGTTAGGGTCGGAAGGGACCTCAATAGATCATCGAGTCCAACCCCCTGCATAAGCAGGAAAGAGTGCTATAGGCAGAAAAGAGTGCTGGGTCTAGATGACCCCAGCTAGATGCTCATCTAACCTCCTCTTGAAGACCCCCAGGGTAGGGGAGAGCACCACCTCCCTTGGGAGCCCGTTCCAGACCTTGGCCACTCGAACTGTGAAGAAGTTCTTCCTAATGTCCAATCTAAATTTGCTCTCTGCTAGCTTGTGGCCATTATTTCTTGTAACCCCTGGGGGCGCCTTGGTGAATAAATACTCACCAATTCCCTTTTATGCCCCCGTGATGAACTTATAGGCAGCCACAAGGTCGCCTCTCAACCTTCTCTTGCGGAGGCTGAAAAGGTCCAGTTTCTCTAGTCTCTCCTCGTAGGGCTTGGTCTGCAAGCCCTTTACCATACGAGTGGCCCTTCTCTGGACCCTCTCCAGGTTATCCGCATCCATAAGTTTTTAAGTTATTTTTAATAAAATTCATGCAACTATTTATATATACTTTTCTTTAGGCCTCTAAAGAAGGCATGTTTGTAGAACAGTCCCATGTAGGAAAAGAACTGAACAGTCCTATGTAGGAAAAGAACTGAACCTATAGCTGGCTCTGTCTAGTACCACAGCTGATCAAAAGCAGCCAGAAAAGAAAAGCCTCTTGTCAACTCTTATTTTCTATTGGACCACACTCACCTTCTACAGGAAAAATAGTTTATGGGCTTTATTTTTCATTATTATTGAAGCTGTCACCAACAGATAGCTAAAGGCTTTCCTTTATGTACCTGGCCCAATACATTTTTAAAAGACTGTCTCAGTGTGGCTTGCATTCTGTTATTTAGTTATGTGAATTGGCCATCCTGTGCTTTCTGACCCAAATACTGAATCTGCCCATATTCACTAAAATATTTTTAAAATATAATCTAGAGATGACATATTTTTAATACATGCTAAACTGGTCAAGTTAGATCCTTCAGCTTCACTTTTTTTCATATTATAGACACAGGGCTGGCCTGTCCTATCCTGCAAAACCTGTAGCCTCAGGGGGCCCCACACCAAAGGGGCACCCCCCGCCACTGGTCGCCCGCGCTGCCCCCCCCCCCCGCCCACCCCCCCGGCCCTGCTGCTGCTGCCACCGACTTCTTCAGCCACTTGCCACAGCCTGACCCCTGCCACCAGCTTCTGTGTCAGGGGGCCCCCCAAAATTGTGGGCTGGCCCTGTATAGACACTGAAATGCTTTTTACGGCTCCCACATATTGACAGTACTAACACACTACTAACAAGTACAAACTTCCTTTTTCCAGTGCTAATCAATACAAGACTAGTAATTAGGGCTGATGAACAATTAAAAAATTAATCACAATTAATTGCAAGATTAATAAAAATAGTCACAATTCATCGCAATTTTAATCACACAGCTAGACAGTAGTCAGTACACCCCCACCCAACAGCCTGGAGCCCATGCGCTGTGACTCCTGCCTGCCACCACCAATAGCGCACAGTCCCAGCCCCAACCCCAGCCCACCCTGCACCCATTCCAGACTCTCCCCGGCTGAAGCAGACCAGTTGGAACCCATGTGAACAGCCCCGATCCCAGCCCACCCTGCACCTGCTCCAGATTCACCTGAGCAGTGGCAGCAGCAGGACAAAAGCTGCTGCTCAGCATGAAGGAAAAGCGACCCCTCCACATCACCACTGCTGGGTCCTTCTTGCTGCAGCCTCCTGGAGCCCATGCCTGGGCTACCCTATGGCTCCTCTGCAGTGCCACCACTGCCCCACTAGGCAGCCCAGAAGCAGCAGTGATGGCAATGCAGAGGAGCTGCAGGGCAGCCCTGGTGTGGGCTCTTGGTGGGTGCAGTAAGAAGGGCCTGGCAGCAGTGAAGGGAAGGGGCTGCTTTTCCTCCGTGCCGAGTAGCAGCTTCTGTTTGGCCATTGCTGCTACTGCTGCTGCTATACTCAGTGCGGGTGGGTTAGTCTGGAGCAGGCACAGGGTGGGCTGGGATCAGGGCTGTGTGCGTGGGTTCTGGCTGGTCTGGAGTTGGTCCACTCCACCAGTCAAAACGATGTGTGCAATGAATGCAATTAAAAAAAATAGCATGTTAATTTGTTTTTGCTTTAATCGTGTAAGTTAACTGCAATTAACTGACAGCCCTACTAGTAACACAATATGCAAGCTGACTGGCTCTACAGTAAGTGAGCATGCATGTATGAAAATGGCAATTAATTCCCTACCTTATTGTTCATCACAGAAATGCATTAAAACCATTTGCAACTACAAGAATAAGAAATAAGAATAAGAAACGCAATGGCACATCTACATGAGAGGCTGACTGCGCAGTAGTCCAATACTACTACACAGTAGCGTTGCATGGCAAAAACAGTGACGTGACATTACTCCACAGTAGTATTAGGCTACGGCACAGCAGAGTCATAAAAAAGGTGTCCACCGGCGCTACTGTGCAGTAACTCAGATTACTGCACATTTATTTAGTACTTTATACAAAAATTAAATAAACACACAGTAACAAATATGCAGTAACGTCTTGTGTAGACACAGCCAATGGGTACTAAAAAAGGCACCAAAACATTTATAGCTTTTTAATTAGAAATTGCTACCTATCATTTTGTGGAAAGAGAATACCATTTATTTCAGATGGGGAGTAGTGTTAAAATAATACCTTATACCCTCATTTTGTTACAAATTTAAATACCACGTTTTCAAAACTTTAGAGCTCTGTGGAATTCTGTCCTTTCTAACAAAAATGCTTACTGGATTCTCATATTTTTGTCATTTCTACCCCTTGAGAGTTCTAAACAGAGGCTACTAGTAGGCTGACTTGCCATTAAAACCAACAGCAGTATATCTCTACAATACCAACTTTTATTAAATTCCATGTTTTGTATGTTGAATCCACAAATTGAGCTTTCCCACGGGGTAATACAATACACTGCTACTAGGCTGCTAAAATGGTATAATTTATACTCTTAAATATAAGCTACTCTACAGCAGTAGGGAATAAAATTAGAAGTGATTTATCTGACAAAATTGAAGGAAATGTAATATATACTTGTTGAATAAATATATTTGTCACCACTGGGAGGGAAAAAAGATCAAACTAAGAAAGGTATGTGTTTTACATGATAATGGAGAACAATTTGTCATTTTATATTGGAGACAAAATTGATAAAATACTATCTTTTTATCTTTAATAATCATCAAATGAGCTCAAACCTTTTGTAGTTATTTATTTTATTTTTTTTACAATATCATACTTATGAGAGGAAATTTATATTTGGATACAATTTTAAAGAATTATTTTGTCTAAGGGGGGATATAGAATACATTTCAAACTTTACATACTCCATGTTTTTTATACACAGAACAAATTTCTAAAGGTTAATTCCACCATTTCTAATACTAGCCACTGCTTTTACTTGAAACATATTAGATGTGACTCTCAGAACTGCCAAGCACCTACAACACCAGGAAAGTAAGTACTAACATAACACCTCTGGAAATCAGGCCAAAATATTTCAGGTTGGTCATACAAAACCTGGGAAACTCAAAATTACTTGTTACACTTGAAAGTTTGACTCCTAATTATTTACTCTTGTAATTAAATAAACTGAAGCTCCATATAATGCATGGAGTCTATCAAAGACTAATTTTCATCCAGCTAATTACATTTTAAGATAAATAATTTGACTATTTTAGGTAGGGGACATGTCAATTATATTGTTATAGCCAAGGCTTAGTCACTATTCGGGGTCTTGCGGGTTGCCTCAATTAGGGGAGACATTTCTGGCAGTCAAGTTATTTCTCTGGTGTAGTCTTAGGGTATGGACATATAAAAAATTTAGCACAGGAAAAAAAAAGGGGGCAGGGCTTTACCAGCTGTGAGCTGCTCTATGGAAATAACTTGGGTGCTTGCTATTCATGTAGTAAGTGAAAGCTAAGCTATGGTAGCTTGATCTGCCACGGCTGCTATTTTGCATCCTCCCCAAGTCGGCATCTGGGGCTACTGCCCCACTCACTCTTGTTAGTTATGCTACTGGAACAGGAATTAAACAGAAGACAGCTTCTTTGTGCAATATTCCAAGTCTTTTTTTTTCCAACCAGCACTCTTTTCAGCTCTCTTTCCTAATTTTCTCTTAGGGTCATGTTACAAGTGCTTGTCTAACTATTCTTAGATTTCTGTTCTTTTTCTGTCCACTTTTGTGGTATTTCTGGCTGCTTCTGCTTCCACATACGTAAGATTC